CCCCCCTCCGGTCCCCCTTCTTAAAAAGAGGGCCCACCCCCCCGGCCTGCCAGTCCAGAGGCACTGTCCCCCTACCCTGTACTGGAAAACAGGAAGCTTGACTCCCAGTGTTCTGGTCGCGGCCCTCACAAAATTCTTAGAACTATGCTAATAAGTATTAACTATATTAAGTTTGCTTTTACCACTCGGAGATGTACTTCGAAAACAGGAAACATCTTGACCACTTACACTTACCCATTGTCCAACTCACATGAACTTAATGAACCCATAACCACTCAGCTCTCCCTCATACAAGCTAATAACAAATAATGTCTATATGAGCTACATACTGTTCTATTACATATTTCTTCTGGAATCTGGTTTATTGCTAACCACTACACTATGCTCACAAGTGGTGCCTTTAGCTATTAAAAAAGGCATGCCTTTCATTGCTTTTGGAAACGCTTCTCAATAAAATGTGTAAGTAATTTGAAGCCAAGTCTAACAGTTGAAACTTAATGTTAGCATTCTAACTATTGTTTGACAAGCCAATAACTTAGCTAATGTTAGCAAAGAGAGATATAAAGCCCCGCTCCTGTCAAACTGAGGTGTCAGCAGGTGATTTACAACAGGAAGTGAGGTCATAAATTTGGTTCTGGTATTCCCAGGCTTTACAACATGCAAGTGCAGCCCCCACCTTCCCTACCATCCTGTTTCCTGGAGGTTTATCATTTTATTTTACTGCAGACGGTTGCATATCACAAAGTTTCCTTTCTCATGGGATCAAAATTATTCCTTACATCTAACTAAACTATTACAGGTAAATGTCCTTGAAATTAAACCCTGTAAATTATTTAATTGAGAGAAACAATAATCCATACACCAATAAAATATTAAGACAATACCAAACAAAGTCTGGGGCTGATGCTGTGTTCTAAAGGCTAATCTTTTGATGTGTGAGCCATGGTCTGTGGGGGTATTGGTCAGACCTGTTGCTAAGGAAAGTCTAATATGAGCCTTTGATGATGATATAAAAACAATAATAATTGTTATGGCTAACTTTATGTCAAAGTTGTTCCAATGAGAAAGAAGACTTTATGACATGCAGTTGTGTGCTGTAAAATAAAACAGCTGTAAAACGATAAACCTCGGGATGGTGGGGAATGTGGGGGCTCCACCTGCATGTTGTAAAACCCAAGGATACCCTGCCACCCCCTGTCATAAATTATAAGTAAGTTTTTCATTAAAATTCTAACTTTATCAGATAGTAATATTACAGCACAAGACACCTTGTCTTGATTTTGATTCAACCTGTTTGCGCCTATTTATTACAGATGAGATTCACTTGACAGTTTAAATGTATAATGCTGTTCGCAAGTAATGTCTTTGTGAACCCTTTGTCACACCAAGTGAACAACAACAACCACCAACAAGTAAAATAAATAAACACATCAGGTACTGTTATAATGTGCTGCAAGACCTGGTGTTGATCTCCCCTCCTGTGTCCATGTAGGTCTGATGATGCAGGTAGATATCACAAAAATTTGCTCAGTGATTTAGTTATCTGTTAGTCCATATGATTTCCCATTTACTTGTCTTGATTTGTCCATAACATAGACTATATAAAAATGGATTATGTGCCATCACTTCCTGCCACTATGTAAAAGTGAAGCCAGAAAATTGTTAATTTGTGGGCTGCCATTTTGCTTTTGTGATGCATAACCAGATTATGTGCAGTAGTGACAAGAAGTGGAGCAATAAAAATTGTCAAATTATTCTTTCAGTATCATCAATTAACTTATTAAAACAAACATCAGGAAAATGACCACGTGTACATCAGTGTGATAATAGCACCCTAAAATGAGAGAAATTATCTTTGGAAAAAGTGTATTTAATTTGTACTTTGAACTTTTACTTTGGCTCATGCCCTGTCCATTAACATGGAGGGTGCATGTTTTATGACCTATACTGCAACCAGCCACCAGGGGACAGTCTACTCGCAGTGGTATCAGTTCTGGGAGCTGTCACATCTGTATACAGCTATGGCCTGTGAAAGGCCAGCATGAATATGAAGTAGACCAGAAGTAAAAATGTACAATATGTAAAAAAAAATTTCTTTGTTTGAACCAAATGACCTGAACCACAAGGTGTCACTGTTCTGCAGTAACTGTCACTCCTTCCTGGCCTTTCCTCTTGTTCTGCCTAATCTAGGATAAAGAATCTCCATGCCCAGATCATAGAAAAGGATGCCATGATAAAGGTGCTCCACCAGCGTTCCAGGAAGGAGCCGATTAAATCAGACCTGCCATCTGCCATGAGGCCCTCCAAGTCCCTGATGTCTATCTCCAACACTGGCTCCAGTGGTTCAGGATTGCTGTCTCACAGCCTGGGACTGAGTAGCTCACCCATTACTGAAGAACGCAAGGACACAAGCTGGAAGGGCAGCCTGGGTAAGAAACAGCAATTCTTACAGCTAATTCAAAGAATTTACTCTGTGTGACAGTTCGAACAGGGTTTCTGCAGGGTCTGAAAAAGTATTAAAAGGTAATAAATAAATTAAGTGAAAATTAAGGCCATTAAAAAGTATTCAACTGTGTAGCCATTTTCCATCTGAATAGCCTATTTACCTAAAGAGTTTGTAAACTAAAAGTTTTGTGAATTTATTTATTTGTATAGTATAGCTGTGAAGCTTGTGGAATTCTACACAAACACAATCTCAGTGACCTGTGCCCGGTCAAATTCAGCCTAAATGTGAAGACATCTGAAAAGTTCAGACCTTTTGCATGCTGAAGGCCCCACTGACTGCTGTCAGCATGGATGCCAGTTAAACAACAACACCTTGAAACTAACAAACGAAATGTCAACATGCACATTCTCAGTTGAATTTGAACCATGGCCCATCACCGGGAGCAACCAGCAGGCCTATTCTGTTCTGTTCTATTCTATTCATCTGTACAGCGCCAATTCACAACAATTGTCTGTTGTGGCCCACTCCTGACTTTCTGTATGGAGCTCCTATTTTGCAGGTGACTTCCTGTATTTCTCATACTCACCTGTTCCTGCTTTATACCAGCTAATCAGTGGCTGATTTGATTCACCTGTGCCTAGTTACCCAGCCTCTATAGCGTGTCTTCTCCGTCTCCCAAGATCATTTGTATGATTTGTATTCTGTTTTGTTAACATTTGAGCTAGTAGTAAGCCTAATAAAAGATCAGAAGATAATTTCCAGTGTGACAGCAGAGTGTGGGTTTATAGCCTACCGATTGTCGGTCACAAATTTCTGTGCTTAACTGGCTACACCACTGCTAATAAAAGATATTAACACGTAGCAGAAACATTAAGGAGAAAATTACACAAAAACTGTACATTTTGTCTCCAAGAGCCTGAAACTATTGACCATCTTTTTATCTCATGTCCAATAACATCTGTGTTTTGGCAATAAGTGATTAAGTACTAAGATAGGTGGTATCGCACCTTTCGAAGAGCACCAAATCATATTATATATGGACAGTCATACTAAAGAATGATCTGATGGGGTCATTATCATCCTACTTATGAGTAAATATCATGTCCATACTTGTAAATGGAGGGATTAAAAACTGTCATTAACCTGTTTTTTAAATGAGTTTAAGAACTACAGAATTTGTCTTCTTTAATGTTATTACGCAATACACATTCAACAACAAAAAAAAATCTGTCAAGCTGTATCACAACACATAGTATTTGATTATAGGGCTTTATTTATTATTATCCTTTAACATCATATGTATAATTTATCATACAAGATATCAAGGTCTCATTATTAATATGATCTAAGTCACAACAACCCTTTTCATCCATGGAAGTATTATGTTATGTAATTTAAGCTTTAATAATTTTTTTTTTTTTTTTTCACGGAATGTAATTTATAACTAAGTTATGAATATTTATTTTTTTTCTCCCTTCCTGCTGTTAAATGTGTTCTTTTTCTTTCTTTTGGAATAGTTCATGTCAGTGCTCCTCACTGGATGTTTTGTATAAAATGTTATTAATAAAGTTTTTAAAAAAAGCTAATCTAAATATAGTACACTTAAACATATATTGATATCTTTAACTTGTGCCGATAATAAAGTTAATCATCATATATAGTCACTCTCTGTCACGTCTGACACACTGGCAGGCTAAGGAGCTAACGGTAGCTAACCTATTCTTTCTTATTTTGTTTCCGGAGGGGGGGGGGGCTTTACTTCAGTGATGTATCATGAGGGGCATGAGTGGAGGGGCGCCAGTTGAATGACATACCATAAGGGTGTGTGGGTTGAGGTGGCCTGCACACCACAGCCGGTCCCCTTGCAGAGTACCGGGATGTAAGCATGCTGTATTGTGCAAAGGAGATCTTTCCACAGTGTTTGTTCAATACCACTTTTATTTATTTGACTTATTGCTTCATATTGTAATTTTACTTAAGGAATTTTGAACAGCAAAAAACAGTTTATTTCTATAGTACTGACTTTATTTAACCGTCATCCTACCAATGTACAGTATTTAACATACAAGGACTAACAAAACTATGACCATAGCAATCGTAAAATTTTTCTTAACATTATTACTTATGTAGGCAAATTATTATCTGAAAATAAAAAGATCATCTTAACTTAAATCCAACACCCTCAGGAGGAGACGCAAGGCAGAATGCAACAATCTGGTGCAAATTGTTAGAACCCAAATCAGTTGAATTGAGGAAAAAGCAATAAATCTTACCATTATCCAGGTTCAAAGTTTACACAAGTACATATAATGAAATTGTGAGGTTTGAATCTTACCATTATCCAGGTTCAAAGTACATATAAGTACATATAATGAAATTGTGAGGTTTGAAATTAATAATTTTGTGTGTGCACAGCTTTATCACTTGTATTGGTAATATAGGCCTCAGAGTGTCCTAATGGCTGAGCTGCCATTCACTGCTGTAGAGCCCCACCTGTCCTGTAGCATGCTGACAGCGTGATTCCTAAAGTTTTGCGTGAAAATGTTGTATGGCATGCAAAGCTCACAGACAGCGAGCAAGACTGAGCATGTTACTGTTATTACTTTTGATAAACGTCACCTTTGGGTTAGTCACTCAATTTATTCTCTTGAGCCTTTGTCCATCTGGCCGGTTTGAATTCTGTTGTCTTGATACAGTGGTCAGTAGAAGTTATTGCAAACTAAGACTATTTATTTTTGCTATCTCAAAATTAATGTATAGTAAAATTAACAGTATAACTTGAAGTCTCACAATTTATTGAAAAGGGTTTAAAAGGTATTGTTTTTAACTTCATGATTTCTGCATATGCCCTGTCAAAGAACAGCAGCTGAAATGCTACTACGAGTGAGAACCGGGGGCCGACAGTCCCTTGTAGCTACTGTGCTACCTGTCAGCATTTTTGAGTAATGATTGTTACCTTCTAATGGCTCTCCAGGGCTTCTGCTGGGTCCCGAGTTTCGTACAGACTCTCTCAGGACAGAGTCAATTTCATCATCCCCCTCTCCAGTGCTTCCTTCCACCCCAATGACCACAGGCCACTCAAAGACAGGCAGCAGGGACAGCTGCACGCAGACTGAGAAGAGCCAGGAAACCAGCAAGCCCAGCACACCAGCCCTTCAGAGCATGACGTTGCCCACTCGTCTGTCCAGTCCCAGCCCCATCTACATACCTGACCGCATAACAGGTCAGCTTCCACTGTCTGTCAGACATGTCAGCCTGAGCTCAGATGTCTGATCACACATACAGTATGCCTTTATTTGGAGAATGGTTGTTGTACATATTCAGGCATTAACTGCTCAACTACAGGGCCCAGTGTTTTCCTCAAGGTGTTGTTTCAAGAATCACTGGAATCTTTGATTGCCTCCAAATGTAGGTTTAGCAATGGTCCCCAATGCATCCTACATGTAATACTGCATTCTCAGTGTCAGTCAGTGGGACTATTTTTCAGTAATACTGTTGTCTATAAGGTAGGACTTTTTTTTCACAATGGAGAAATTCCTGTGTTACAGCAGCAATAGAGAACAGCAACAAAACACCATAAGAACAAACACCACACATATATTGTGAGAAACAATTTCCAAAGTACCTAAAAACCTGACAAAATATAGTATTTGAGAGACAATCAGGAACAAGATAATCCTCCCACAATTACTCCCTGAGAAACTACTCAAAAAATACCTAAGAACAAGACAAAATAAAGTATTCGAGAGAAATCAAGAACAGAATTTACATATGTGCATATTAACCACACATTTTACCCCAGGATCTGAGTATTGCACCTCAGTTGACTATTGCATAGTCCCTCATACTTTCACCTAGCTTATCCCTGCAGTGATGTATTGTACAGTCTGATAGCTGTGGGGAGGAACGACCTACGGTAACGCTCCTTCTTATACTGGGGATGTAACAGTCTCATGCTAAAAGAACTGTTCAGAGCCTCCACTGTGTGGTGCAGTGAATGGGAGGGGTTATGCATGATGGATGTTAGTTTTGCTCGTTTGTCTTGCTGGTGTTCAGGACGAGATGATTTTTCTCACACCACTCCACAAAGTCAGTAATAACCCCCCTGTATTCCCACTCGTCCCCCCAGATACACATCCAACAATGGCGGTGTCATCCGAGAACATTTGTAGATGACAGTGGTGGGAATTGTACTTGAAGTCCGACGTGTAGAGGGTGAACAGAAAGGGGGAAAGCACTGTCCCCTGGGGCACCCCCGTGCTGCAGACCACCATGTCCGACACACAGTCAGGCGGCCTTACAAACTGAGGTCTGTTTGTGAGGTAGTTAATGATCCATGCTGACAGATGTTGGTCCACACCTTCCCCCGTCAACATCCTCCTCAGCATTGACGGCTGGATTGTGTTGATAGCACTGGAGAAGTCAAAGAACATGACCCCCACAATACTTTTTTTCGGGAGCTTCCACAGCTCCCTCCGGAGTGCCATTGTCTGTCCCGGGAACAATAGAGGCATCTCCACAATCCCCTTGAACCTGGGGGTGGAGCTGCGAACTGAAGGGAGTGACCCTGGCAGATCAATTTCGTCATCCACCTGTTCATTATGCACTGATGCCATCACTCTGACTAAAACTAAGAGAGCAGGTGTGTGACCTCCCTCTGGTCCGAGGCTAGAGCGCTTTGGGAGTTGCTCCAGAGTGATCCATGGGGGGCTGTGGCCCAAAGGGCCGGGCAATGTAATCTGAATAGGGGGTGGAGTGAGAGTGGCAGTCTGGCCTACTTTTTACTAAGACTTTTAATTTTGTAGGTAAAGTTCAGGAGCATTTCATAGAAGATTTACCCATACTGACCCAGGTCCAGAATCTTAACAGGTTGTGCTAATTCATCAGGAATAAAATCCAATAACTAAGGCCACGCAAAAACAAGGTGTTACTTTTGAGGTCATATGATTCATTCCTAGCATCAGAAATCTTCGAGGATCATTTTTACTGCACTCTAACAGTCACTGGCTTACCTAAAACAATAAAAATTTACAAAACAAACATTTTGAACTTCTGACATTTTTCTGCTTTTGTCATCTTTGTGTAGATGTGGCAGTGTTTCACAGCGCCCTGGAGCGGAGGCTCCCAGTCCAGACCCTCCCACAGCAACACGCCCCTCCCGCCCAACAGGAAGTGGACAGTGACATGGTGGAGATCCTCATCTAACCCCATGACCTCTGGAAAAACATCAACCAAATGAGGTTGGCAGTTCCATCAGAACACGTATAGCAGTAGATCTGAAGCATCCAAACCTGCAGTTCAGTCTGTGTTAACAGACCCATGCCACATTTTTATACTCTTATGTGCATTCATTCAACAGTTTCAGCCTGACTGCAGTTTTTACACAGTTCCTTCATTCCTTTATTGAGTCACTGTTTATCATTGTCTTTGAAAAACCCAGATATCAGGAGCAAAAAGCAGAAGTGTGCCACCCTTTCCTGTTTTATCTCAGCTGTGCAGTTTTCTTAAACGCATGTGTTAATATGAAGTGGTGACTGGAATTTAAAAATGTAAACATTCAGTCTTATTTGTTTTTCTGATGCAAATCCTGACCTGTAACCTCTCCTGTTGCTGGAGCCTAGTTAACTCTATTGGACCAAATGTATTATCTACCTTTGCATTTATTGCACTACTTAGTTTTTAATTGTTTCTTTTTTGCTATAACTTTAAGACATCTAAGATTAGGTATTGTTTATGTGTAATCTTTTTTTTTTTTTATATGTGCATATATATACAGTTTATATATGTGGTCCTAGATCAGATTCATATCCAATCTCTGACTACACGAGCACTGTCAGAACGATCAGATCAGTGTGGATTCACTCCTCTGCACATATCACCTGTCATCATTATTCAGTGTGGACACCTCTCATACCTGTAAAAATAAATATGGGGGAGAGCAACATGTCACTGTAGAGGTGAGATCATTTCACAATTGTTGGACACTTAGGGAGAAGCTTCTCCTCAAGCCAAACTAGAAGGAACTTGATTGTAACCGAACAGTTTTTGGAGGGATTGTGTGATTTCATTATGTCACCTAAAAGACAATTGTTGTTATTCTTCTATGCACATTGCTCAAATTTTAGTTAAAAATAAAATCTGAATTTATCATTACGACCTGTGATGTGAATAAGTCTTAGAGTCCACTGAAACCCAAACATTTGGACCAAAGAAACTAAAAATGGTCAGTTAACTAATTTTATAATTTTGGAGGATTCATAGGATTATTTCACTAAAGATTGTATTTTATTTGAAGAACTTAATTATGAATGCACTGATATGTTGTAACTGAATATATTTGACATTTGAGTGAGGAATGACTTAGACCACTATTTAACCTCATAAACCAAAATTATGCATATTTGTTCTCCACTACATGTATGTACAATCTTTACATGTACAAAATTATTTGAAAAACAACTGTCTTTGCTTCATGTCTATCGCCATGATTAGTATTGCTTAATAAATATGTTAACTCATTTTTGCTATTACCCACAAACCCACATGTTTCATGAACCATTTGCATTGAGAAGCGCAAGATATTTTACTTGTGTTGCTGGTATCCCCAGCCTTAAAGAAAACACAATTCACAGAAATCTCTTTATGAATGGCACCATACGTGGCTGACATTTTTGAGGATGAGTCTTTATTATCATGCCAGAACACCTAAACATATAAAGCTCTTTACTGAGTTGGATGTGGAAGATCCATTCATCTTCATCCACTTCATCTGAGACCGGGTCGCGGGGGCAGTAGTTCGAGCAGAGTCTCCCAGACTTCCCTCTCCCCACACACCTCCTCTAGCTCCTCAGGAGGAATCCCAAGTCGTTCCCAGGCCAGCCGGGAGACATAGTCTCTCCAACGTGTCCTGAGTCTGCCCCGAGGCCTTCTCCTGGAGGGACATGCCCAGAATACCTCCCCGGGGAGGCATCCAGTGGGCATCCTAAACAGGTGCCCGAGCCACCTCAACTGGTTCCACTCAACGTGGAGGAGCAGTGGCTCTACTCTGAGCTCCTCACTGGTGACTGAGCTCCGCACCCTAATGTGGAAGATGAAATGCCAAATACTGAAAGGATGCACAAAACACAACATTGTATAACAATGGGAATTTAAAATCTAGTCTTGAAACTAGAGGATGAGCAGGTAAATATCTATGGCCAATGAGATGCTATGTTAGGTCTTCAGAACAAAAGCAGAGGTCAGTCTCAGTTGGCAGTTAAATGTATCTATAGCTAAAACTAAGTCTTCTAATCCAAGGCCTCTTTTATGATAGTGATAGGTTTTTGTTCAACCTGTCCCATAGAGGTATCAATTCAGGTATCATTCTGAAGGCTGTAGTTGTGCTGCTGTTGAATTATATTCACAGTGGCAAAATTGGAATTAGTGGATGTGTGGCATGTTGGCTTGTAAAAATTGCAACCGGTTATCAAAATAGTTGCCAAATGAGGAACAAATAGTCTCAGCTCTACTACAGGTACTGCCATATTTTCTTTTAACTATCTGAAAGGCTTTTTGTAACTGAGAGACATATGAGTTCATCATCCCACCTCAGAGTTCACCACAGGGCTCAGGCCTGCTTTTGGCCTACATCAAAATATCTGACAGCTTCCAGTCCACCGTGTACACACAAACTGAATGCACTGCTTTTGTGAAAGGACATAGAACTTCAAAGACAATTACTTTACTTCTACAACCTATGGACTCGCTGCACAGCAGAAATTATGTTACAAGTGCCTCTATAGCAACCCACTGTTAGAGCTTTTTCTTTTTACATGGAAAATTAGAGGTTTATGGAGTTTTACTTGTCTGTGCCGGGCACTTGCCATATTGGTGTTGCTTTACTGACACTTAAAAACATTCTACACTCACTATGTAGAGCCAATCACCGGCTGTCATTCACGGCTCTTCTGAACATACAGTCATTCTATAATGTGACAGATGCCTGACAAAGAAAACTCAGAGACAACTGTTCAGTTTGTTGTGAAGTTTTTTCTAGAAAACAAGTTACTCCAAATTAAGCTCATACTGAATAAAATTGGAGCAGTTTACAATGTTTATTAGCCATATAATAGTATACAGTCATGGTCAAAAATATTGGCACCCCTGCATTTCTGTCAGATAATGATAATCACTTTTATTGGCCATCTATGTTACACACACAAGAATTTGTCTTTAGTACAGAAATGAAGCAGCCATCTGCAGCACCAACTCACACCAATGGCAGTACTGTCCCTGCAAGACACTACTCTGTCCATCAGGAGCAATTTGGGGTTCAGTGTTTTGCCCAAGGACACTTCCACATGTGGACTGGGGTGAACGGGAATCAATCCACCGACCTCATGGCTAGGGGGATACCTCTTGAGCCACAGCCACCCCGAAAGGGCAAGGTCGCCCCACTTCTCCCAGAAAATTCATTCATAAATTCTTTGGTAATCTCATGTTTATATCTTTTGTTTGTAATGGAACAACCCAAAAAAGCCAAATCTGATCCATTCCACACAGAGCTCCAAACATGGACTGGACAGAATTATTGACACTCTCAGCTTAATATTTGGTAGCCCACCCTTTGGACAAATTAACTGAAATTAGTCGCTTCCTGTAACCATCAGTGAGTTTCTTCCTCCTCTTTACTGGAATTTTGGACCACTCTTCTTTTGCCAGCTGCTCCAGGTCTCTTAGATTTGAAGGCTTCTATCTCCCAGCTGCTGTTCTGAGATCTCTCCACAGGTGATCTATGGGATTTAGACCTGGACTCATTGCTGGCCACTTCAGAACTCTATAGCTCATTGTCTGAAACAATTTCTGGTGCTTTGTGAAGTCTGCTTTGGGTCATTGTCCTGCTGCAAGACCATGACCTCTGACAGAGACACACCTTTCTGACACTGGGCCCCATCATTCATCAGTAGGCTTCAGATGTCATAATGCCACACACACAGTTAGGACATCCAGGGCCTGAAGCAGCAAAGCAACCCCAAAACCTCAGTGAACCTCCACAGTGTTTGATGGTAGGGACCGTGTTCTTTTTTTTGAAGGCCTCATTTCATTTTCTGAAAACAGTAGAATGATATGCTCAACCAAAAAGCTCTGTTTTAGTCTCATCTGTCCACAGGACATTCTCCCAGAAGGACTGTGGCTTCCTCAGGTCAGTTTTGGCAAACTCCAGTCCGGTGTTTTTATATTCCTGTGGGTCCCCTGGGTTTCCTACCATAGCATCCCTTGTTGTTCAGATGGCGACGGATAGTGTGAGCTGACACTGTTGCACCCTATGCCTGCAGGTCAGCTTGAATCTGTTTGGAAGTCGATCGAGGTTCTTTATCCACTATTTTAAGAATCCTTCATTGCAATCTGTCATCTGTTTTTTCTTTCATCCACATCCAGGGAGATTAGCTTCAGCACCATGGGCTGGAAACTTCTTGACAATGTTGTGGACACAGGAGCAACCAGATCTCTGGAGATGGACTTGTAGCCTTGAGACTGTCCAGGCTTTTCCACTATGTGGTTCTCAAATCCTCAGCCAATTCTGCTCTTCTTTCTTTTCTCCATGCTCAGTATGGTCCACACAACACAAAGGTTGAGTCAACTTTTCTCCATTTTAACTGGCTGCCAGTGTGATTTCTACTTTGCCAGCACCTGTTGGTTGCTACGGGTGAGTTTCATTTCAAATTAAAGGAGCATCACAGGCTGGAAATACAACTGTTTCTGATGATTTTGAAAAGGTGTCAATAATTCTGTCCAGTTCATTTTTTGAGTTCTGTGTGGGATGGATCAGATTTGGCTTTTTGTGTTGTTCCAATGCAAACAAAAGAAATAAACATGAGAATAACAAAGAATTTGTGATGGCAACAATTTTCTGGGAAAAATTGTGCGTTATCTAACAGAAATGCAGGAGTGCCAGTATTTTTGGCCATGACTGTATATGTTGTATTGTAGTGATTCTTGTTTTAGGCAATGTTTTCCCAGTCTGTTCATATGCAGTCTGCCTAATTTTTTCATTGAATGTACAATCACTGTTCATGTAAAAGCAATTTCATTTCCTGTCGTACTCCTCTCATACATATCCTGAACTACTCTGACGTACTTCTCTGCCACTCCTGACATCCTCATACAGTACCATAGCTCCTCTCCCGGCACTCTGTCGTAAGCTTTCTCTAAATCCACAAAGACGCAATGCAACTCCTTCTGACCATCTCTATACTTCTCCATTAACATTCTCAGAGCAAAAATGGCATCAGTAGTGCTCTTTCTGGGCATGAAGCCATACTGCTGCTCACAGATATCCACTTCCTTTCTTAGCCCACATACATTCAACATTACCCCTTCAATTTCCAACTTCAAACTGATCACCCTGTCTGACACTCTTTTCACCTCTAAAACATTCCTCACGAGCTCCTCCTTCAGGATCACTCCTACGCCATTTCTCTTCCTGTCCACACCATAATAAAACAGTTTGTATCCCCCTCCAATGCTACGTGCTTTGCTACCCTTC